GCTTTTTATATTAATTAAAATTGACTAGAAATTAAGTTAAATTTGCAATTAAATTGTTTTTCTCATCAAAAAAATACACAAAAATATTTTAATTAATTAGGTTTTTTAGGCTTCTAATTTATTCTCGTATTTAAATCGTCACGCGCCTTTACTTTCTTTTAATTCAAATTATTGTAATTGTTTCAAGTTTATAATAGATTAATTAGGGTTTTAATTTCCGCATCTTTATTTTTAGTCAAATATTTGTGTATCTGCCCAAAAGCCTTGTAATAGTTAGGACTTTAATTTCTCGCACTCTTTAATTTCCGCAACTATTAAACTGCTAGATGTATGGGCATTAGGATTGTATGCGAAAGATAAACCAATGATTAACAAGGTAGATAACCCTAATTGTGAAAAGATAATTAACTGGAAAAAAAAAGCTCACATGCACATGCTCACTCCTAGGGTTTTCCTCACTTGGTTGTCTCGGAAATAATGGTCATGTCCCTCGAACGTAGGGATATATTAGCAATGACCCACAATTCAAAGTCGTCATAAAGATCATAGTCCCTCATTGTCCCTCAATTTGCCTACGAGAAATGATCTTATGATGATAGTCCCTTCGAAATGCTAAGGTATCCTTACTTGTTGCCTTCAGTGACCATTTCGTCCCTTCGAATGTCCCTTAAAACTCCAACGATAGGGCTACCTACTGCTTAATAGTAGGATAGTGCTATCTAAAGGAAATGAGAATGAACAATCTTTTTTTGAGTAGGTATAAAATCTTAAGTACTTGCTCAAATAAACTCTTTTACACAAACACTTTCAAAACAGTTTTCAAAAACCACTTCGTCACACTCTTAAAGATAGATACAAGAGTTATCACGATGTTAAAAAAAAAACTTTTCAAAACACACACAAGGAATTTCAAAATGAGCAAGTACCTAAGAGCCCGTGGAAAACCATGGATAGAAAGGGTGCTAACACCTTCCCTTTCTTTAATCTACCCCCCGTACTCAGAAACTCTCGAAAAAAGGTTTTTTCTGTTCTTTTTCCATTCCTTAGTTGGATGAAATAAAAGTCGATGGTGACTCTTGCTTACCGTGACATTTGCGAATACAAAATGCAAAACCAGTATAATAGTCGGTTCTGCCACCATATCACACTGAGCTACCAACTTCCACTGAAGGTAGAGAAACAAAGAATACACCAACTTTTACTGAAGGTGAGCTACCAACTCCACTGAAGGTAGGGTCTGCATTAACAATAACGAGTTTCCCAAAATTATGGCGTTCCACCTAGAACGGGTCTCAACTTCTTCTTTAACCGAGGCATTCCACCTGGAAAGGGTAATAAACTTTACCAACTTTTGGACTTCGTCGAGAATAGTAATATTTTTTCTTTGATCAAGATATCATTTGAAAAGGGTAATAACTACCGTAAGGATCTTTCAACAAACTATCTTTGTCATTGGAGTAAGTCCAACCTCAACAACAAACTATCTCCCATAATGTATAGACTATTATTACTTGGAGTAAAAACATCTTCTTTGGCATTAACAGACTTACTGGGGAAGTATAATTTGCTCAAATAAAGAGACTGGCACTTGCTGTTATGAAAAGTATTGCAATAACACTATCGGGAAATGAATTTCAATTTCATGGGGAAATAACAATACATTCCTACTGAGGGGATAAAGTCTTCACGTGAAAAATAAATGCACATTCTTAATCAAGGGATCACAACCTATAGGAATCAAAATAATATTACTATCGGGGACCAAAAATTCAAATCAGGAACAAGCCGAAGTGAAACAGTCAACCAAGACACCATCCATTGAGGAATAAACTCAAATGGGGATCAAATTCCATCCAGATAATGAGCTAGGTAGGAAAGCTAAAGAAAAATTCTTCCACGAGGGATAACTCAGTGGGGAAATTGAAAGGATATACACTTTCTGCTTAAGGTTGACACTCTATTGGAGAGAGGGTAATATAAATCTATAAATAGGACAATATGACAACAAAAACATCAATTAGTGTAAATAAAACATAGTTTTAATTCAGCTACGCATAATGTATGTATGAATGTATGAATGTTATCATGTATATGCTAACAAAACAAACATACTGCACTGGAGATAACCAGACAAAACCAACTTGGGTAACGACAACACTCGGATAAATCATTCTAGGATGAAGATTCCATAAGAGAGTAAGCACCAACTAAGGACACAAAGTCCTACTACAAGGCTTAACTTCACTGGGAAGAAACATGGTTTAAAAATAATCAAAGCAACATTTGATAGCAAAAAACCAATAAAGTTGCAGGGATATAATACACTTCTCTAGGCGTCACCGCAGAATATCATACACACTTCTCTAGGAAAGACAATGCCACATTGTTTAGACTTCAACTAAGGATTCCATACTGAATTCACTAGGGTCGACAATGCCACATTGTAGAAGGGATCCCAAATACATTCTTCAATATCAAGAGTAGTGGTCGTGCAAACTTCTCTGGGGAAAATCTATGAAACTTCAGAGATAAAACCTTTAAAGAGAAGCAGCATCTTCGGTTCTTCCAAAGAAGTTAAGAAGTTAACATCATAACAAGAAGTCAAAATTATGGGGATTGTAAATCAAATTCAACACTTGGCGAGAGAAAACCCAAAAAGTTGGCAGTTATCTCAACACTTCTTAGAAAATGACACTGCGTTTGTCCAGCTACTTGGAGAGCACACAACAACAATAATGTCATAACTGGAGAGAGGAATGCTCCACAAGAGATTCTACATCAATTCTCAACACAAAGGGATAATTACTTCAACAAATGAGCAAAGGCTTCATAACTTTACAATTTCTATTTGATCACAACCCATTTGGGGAAAAGATCACACCATAGAAATCTGCATTAAGACCTTGTTGTACCCCAAAATTTACCCTCTTGATTTCAGAATTTTCTTTGGCTTATATTTCAGCTGCATATGCATACATACATTGGTTTTGTTGCTATAGGATCAAGGTATGCCAATAAAGCATCAACTATTTATTAGAAGCGTCAAAGGCTTTGTGCAGGCAATTCAATCAGCTAAGGAACTGGTTATCAGCATGTTCTATTCCCATGTATTTTCTCATGTCTTAGGAAATATAAGGGAACCAGAGGTTTTGATCTGATTTTGAATAGTTCGGGTTAAAAATTTGTTTCGGTGCATCAACTTCATAATTTTCTAACTGCGAGCCAGAGTGTTGTCTTGGGCTGAAGTTTGATCACCAAGTTTGTGTTGATATTATATTCACTTTTCGTGTTCAGGCCGAGAGCAAATTATGTGCAAAAGGCGGTCAAATAATTTTATTACTGAGTTTTCATGTTACAGATCAACGGTCTTTCGGGCGTTCAAAAATTTCTAACTCTAATCTCGTATATTGTCTCGAGGTGATTTTTTCCATCTTTAAATCTTCTTCGATATCCTCTCCAACTTCCTCGATCTCGTATAATTCTCAAAGGAATGTCTCCGAATTCACAAATCAGACAAAGCTGAAAAGTGGAAAATACTGATAAACAGTTGGTTGAACCGTATTTTGTGCGCATTAAAAAATTCATATCTCCTGGATCGAGTACTGTATGAGCGTGGTTCCTGTGTCCAAAATTCCGTCTTGATATCCTCTTGATGGACGTCCAAGGGCGGGAGCTGATGATTTGAGGAAGGTTGCGTAAATTGCGAATTACTGAGGAATTATTTGGTACCTGTCTGTTCGGTTTCCAATATTCAAAAAATCATAACTCGGTCATTTTTTACCGAATCGCGCCCGTTGTCAAGGCGTTGGCTTGATAATTTTGTCTGCTTCAATTCGGTTTCATATTCTTAAGACGAGCGGTATCCCAAAGACCTCCATTGTTGGTTTATTTTGCAAAATGGAGTTGTTCGTACCAGCAAAACAGACTGAACGTCATTGTACTGTAAAATTCATGGAAAATTAACAATTTATCAGACGACTCTCATTTTTTGACATGACGACAGGCACTCAAAGACACATATTTTTCCTGGAAAAGCTGAATCAATTTTCTGATTTTTAGTCGTGACGTCCCGTCACTCAAATGTGTCAGATGTTATTCAATTTTTGTCATAAATCGTCTGTTCTTTTTAAATGGTGTCCGTGACTTAGAGCCGGACATTTTCTCAGGCGGCACTGCATTGGAAATTTTCACATATCATTGTTTAATTTGCGGTTAAGCGGCAAATAGGCTGAAAGTTTAGTTCAAAATTCAAATACTATATAAATCTTTTCCCCCAAAAAAAATTAAAAACATTCTTCATTCTACCAAAAAAACTCATAAACCTCTCTACTCTCTCTACCTCACCAACAACCGAACCACCATCAACCATCACCGGAGGTCCGACCGACCTCCTCCCTCCGGCGATCGACCTCACTCTCCGACCTCCTTCCTACGGAAAGCAGCCCCTCCCGGCCGCGCCTCTCCCTTTACCGGATTCGCCTCATATCGACACATCTCCGTCCGCTAGATTCCCCTCCTCTCAGCACGACTTCCTCCTTCGGCAATACTCCCTTCGGCCGCCCACTACTTCAGGCCTCCTTTAACCTCTTCAATTCTGCAAATTCTCCAATTCTTGAGGTAAGCTTCTATATCCTCTTCTCTTGAAAATTGAAAATTTTCTTATTGAATATTAATCAAGAATTGATGTAATTGTTAATTGGAATATAGAATTCAACTACATTTAGCTTGAATCCAAGATTAGGCTGGGAGTTTAGGTTGATTTTTGGTTTAGCAAATAGTGTTAGCATAAACTAACTTTGTTGAAGTTTCTAGATGTGAATCTTATTTGATTTTTCCTAAACTAACATTTAGGATTTAGTTTTGATTCTCGAACTTAGATGTGGTTTAGTTTCTTGAATCTTAAATTTTGTTCACATTTGGAACTAACTTAAACTAGTTCTAACTAAATTTTCAAGAATGTAGTTGTATAGAAACTAACATACACTAACATTTGGTATAGTTTAATGATAACTCTTTGATTGTATACAATGCTTGACATCAAAATGTTGTAGAGAATTTGCATTTGGTGGACTTGATTCACGAGTTTTTGTTAAGTTTTCAAGTTTACATAAAAGAAATGAAATAAACTCATGAATTTGGAACTTTATATTTTGATTTTTCTTCAAGGTCTTGATGTCAAAGTAATTGACTTTTGTTGCTGTAATTTTGGTTGATAATATCATGAGGCTTCCTTGCATTATGATGCATCTTGTACATAGCATTTTCAAGTTACCAATATTTTCTCACTTTTGACATAAAACTCACTTTTTTGCCAAATATTTGTGGATACTTGTTGATTGTCATTGCTAGGTGTTGAGATGAGTTCTAGTAAATTCTAATGCCATTGTAAAACTCATTTGAAACAAGTTTGATTGAGTTTAGTGGAAAACATCTCAACATTTGGAAAATATGACATATTTTGACATAAACTTATTTTTACCTTAACTTTCAATCCGCTTTGAGTTTTTCCGATTTTCTTTAATGAAACCCGTGTCTCCTGAGCCACCCAGAGCTCCTCGCGCAATTAATTTTTTGATTTGGACAAGTTTTGATCCATTTTCGTGCTACTGGGCTGTTTCAGATTTTACACTTTGGATCGAAATTTGGCCGAACCGATTTGGTTTTTGAAACCGTTGGCACGTTTCTATGTCACTTTAATTTTTACGGTTATTTCCGAGCACTTTTTGTTTAGTTTTCGACTTATAAACTCAAGTTTTTGTGCATTGTTTTTATGCATCATATTTGACTTGTGGCACATTTTTGTGTGTCGATTTATGCCAACTTGTCGAGAATTTTCATAAGTATGAGTTGCTGTCCAGAATAGTGAGTTATATGCATAAAGGTATTCTAATTTTGTTTAAATTGTTTCGGTGTTTATAGTTTTACCGTTCTTGATACCGGTAACTTGTTTATGTGCATTTTTACCGCTCTTTGAGCTTGATAACATGAGAATGATATTGCTGTTCGATATATCAATTTTGACATAAAATTTGCTTCTATTTCAACATGTTATCCATGTGAATGCTAAAATTTAGGCTAGATACTAACACTTTTTTTCACTTTGCACATAATGTTTGTTTTGCTACTTTGTTGTATGACTTCTTGCACTTAGAAATTTTCATGAGTTGCATTGGTTTCTAATAAACTCAAAGCATTATAATGAAACACATTTGATAAAGCTTGACTTGAGTTTAATGGAAATTGACTCTTCTCTTGGAAAATGACCAAAACTTGACATAAACAGAATTTTGCCATAGCTTTTGATCCGTTTTGAGTTTTTTCAACTTTCTTTAATGAAAATCATGTCTTTTAAGCCATCCGAAATTCTACCCGCGTACAATTTTTCGATTCGGACATTTTTCACTCGATCGCATTTTTGTAACCATTTTGCATATGTATAGCTTCTCTTAAATTTTACAATTCATTCTAGATAGTTTTCAAGGCGTTACCGTTTGTTTCAGATGCATTATTTGCTTTATGTACATATTACACCGTTACTTGAGAAATACCGTTTTGCACTAATTTTAGTTTGTGATACCATTCCATCTTAGCTTGCATAGTTTCTAACTTGCATTAAACGAACTAACTTGGTAGCTTCTAAATTGAGCTTTGGTACTTAGGAATTTCCGCTTTATGTAAATACCGCATTTTGTTGATACTGCTAACTTAAATATGCGTTTTTACCGCTTTTTGGGTATAATCACATAAACATGGCATGGCTGTCCGGAGTACTACTATTAGCATCTAAACATGGTTTAATTTTCTACCCTTTGACCGTTCATTCTCATACTTGTGTCCAATCGTTTCCAATATCAAGCATTATGCGTTTTGACTCAATTTCCGACACTTTTCCAATGTGTTTGCAATGCTGATCGGAAAGGAACTCTCACACCTCTTACAAGTTTCAAATCTTGCTTCACATACCATTGAGATATTATGAATTAATTCTTGACAACAATTTTCACTTTTTCCACTTGTATGGTGATTTTGGTACACTTTTCAATACTAATGTAATGTTATCCGGAAACGCCATGCTATATTCAAGTGTCTTGCTCATTTTGTATTATACATAACCATGTTTACTTTCGATTCTTGTTACTTACTTACAATTTTCATTTCAATGTTGTTGTTATTTGCTAACAATTTTGATTAGTTGTGCATGTCTTGAGAAGCAAATTCAGACATTGACTTCTTTAGTAACGAATGCGCTTTGCTTGCACCGGTGTCACATTTCCGACATTCTCTCTTGTCGATGCTAGATTTTGGAGCTTTTGCGGAAGATTTTGGATATTTTATTGTAGAGTTTGCTGTATACGGATTTGTTTTATCCAATTGGTACACATTCAGATCACTATTGTTGTAAATATTTCATTTTATCGCTTTTCAAGAGATCATGAGAAGCAGGAAACATGAAATAAAAAGAGCGTGAGCTCGAAGTATCTATTTAAAGACCTGTAGCAGGCATCGCTTTCTGTATGCTATTTGTGCTTGGTTTGTTTAAAGCCCCATCTGAGATTAATGAGCAATTCTGCACGTGTGTTTACATTTTATGCTTGTACAACGGTGGGATGGTTTTAGGTCCTTTTATGACAACCATTCTTAAGTTCTCAAAAAAGAGATAGGCAAGTGGAAAGGGTTAGTAATCAACCCCCACCAAGTTTCTATTATTATCGTTCTTATGCTTACTTTTTGCAAGTTCTGAGCTCTGAACGTGTTCCCAAGATCTTGTGTATCGAGTCGGTCAAGTGGAAAAGAGTTCTAATTCTGGCCCCCACATCTTTCAGGAGTTTACATGACCAATGTTGATGCTCCATGATTATTCATATCATATTATTTTGCTTGCCTGAACTTTTAGGGCCATGGTATAATTATGAATTCCCACATAAAGTTTTTTCAGACTCGGTTGATATATTTCCCCTGGCTAGAGCTTTTCCCTTTTCCCTAGCATATGATTTCGCATTGCATATTTGGGTGCTCTCTTGAGCTAGCTCTCTCGAGCTTTTTGACTTGCTTTCTTGCTTTCATAGTTGTGTACATGCCTTAAGATGTTTACCCTTGACATGTTCCCTTAGGAGCTCTTGATTCATCCTTTGGTGGTGACTTGAGTTAGACATAGTTTTAGGTGGTGATCCCTTGCTATGCTCCCTTAGGCCTTTTTGATTCATCTGTTGGTGGTGATTTGAGATAGACACTAGGATTGGTATCCATGTATGTCAACAATAGGTTAGAGTTCCCCCTTCAAAACTCAACTTTAGGGTCAATCATTTGTATGATTACACTAGGGCTAGGAATTAGGATAGTCTCCCTTAGTTGTTTTCTTTTCTTTGCATATTGCATCTTAAAACAAAAACTCTCTTTTCTTGGTAAATCATAAAACCTCTCTAATAAACTTAAATCCTTCTTCAAGGTAAAAAATATAAACCAATCTTAATTGTTTGTGCGCCTTTCGGCTCTGTTTTAAATCTTTGATAAGCTGACATCTTACCACCATTACCACCCTTACCATGATATTTTACTATCTTTTTTGTCGATGCTTCGCCATCACTTATGTTTGTTATCCTACTTTGATTTTCAATATCATTGTTAGGTGTGATATTTTATCATCTTAATTCTAATATTTCGTCACCTTATCATGATATTTTACTATCTTTTTTATCGATGCTTTGCCATCACATATGTTTGTTATCCTACTTTGATCTTCAATATCATTGTTAGGTGTGATATTTTGTCATCTAAGTTTCGATGTATTGTCATCTTTGCCATGATATTTTATTACCTTTTTATAGATGCTTCATCATCGCATATTTTTGTTATCCTACTTTGATCTTCAATATCATTGTTAGGTGTGATGTTTTATCGTCCAAATTCTAATTTTTTGCCATTCTAGTCATGATGCTTTGCTATCTTTTTGTCGATGCTTCGTCATCGCATATGTTTGTTATCCTACTTTGATTTTTGATATCATTTTTAGGTGTGATGTTTTATCATCTTATCCGATATTTTTCCATCATGCTGATGTGTTATCATTTTATCTGAATTTGTGTTTCCATGTGATATCTTATCGTCCTTGTTTTGATGTTTTATCATCGTTGCCGATATTTTGACATTTTATCTGATATTTTTCCATCTTGATTGTTGCTTTTTCTTTTTAACTAAAAAACACAAACCAACTAAAATACGTGAGCTGAACTACGACTGCTCTGATTCTTTAAAAGGGATATGTAGGCATTGGGATAGGGCCCGAACGAGCACAAATTTTATTTTCCCTACATTATTTTCTCTTTTATTTTGCATGCATTCCCTATTTCATATTTTCTTTTAGATCTTAAGATTAGACATAGATTTTACACACCCTTAGATTAGAACAAACAAGAGTGGATACCAAAGAGTACTACGGACGTGTGGGGTGCTAATACCTTCCCCTCGCGTAATCGACTCCCTTACTTGATCTCTATGGTCGAAAGGCTGTGATTTCACTTCTTCAGGTTTTCTCGATGTTCACCTTTCCCTTCATGTGGGATAAAAGACTTTCGGTGATGAATTTATTTATTTTATATTCGATGACGGTTCGGCTGGTTGTTTCAACTGGAGACTTCATTGGGGAATAAAAATGTTGAACAATCGTTGGTCTATCTCGAGGTTGATCCTAGATTTTGTTTTCTTTTTCTTTGGGTGTTTTTAGCTTTTCATCTTTGTTTACTTATGTATTTTATTAGTGTGCTTCCATGCACCACATTTTGTTGTCTCCTATAATTTGGATGTTGTTGTTATATTGTTTCTTTGTGGGGATGGAATGATTCTTTTTGAGGTAAAAGGCCCAGTACCTAGGCCAGAGTGCACTATTTAGGAAACTTAGGAATAAAGTGAAACTTAACTGCTATTGAACGAAGGTCCTACTATGCGGTCATGTCGTCTGCGCTTAGATGAGGTACAAATGAGGTGCTATTGTCCACCACGTATGTGGAATGAAGATAATGCTTCCAGGAGGACCCATGATTTTAAGTTACCCTTGATTTTACCTTGACCTGGACTATACCCATGAGTGGGGAGGGTTGATTCTTACAGGTACTGATGGTGACTCAGGTTTTGATAGAAACTTTGGTTCCGATGGTAACTTTTGGTGGTGACTATTCCATTTTTTTTATCACGCAACAGAGCAGTGGTGTCCAGTCTGGTGGAGACCTTGATCCTATTGTGATTGCATCATAGCATATTTACTTTCAAAGATTATAATACAAAAATGTTTAACTTGCATATGCATTGTCATTTCCAGGGTTTTCCTGAATTTTCTTCTCCTCCAAGAATGGCGGACAACACTTATACCAATAAAAGAGAAACTAGGGATGTTATTGGCTACAAATTTGGTGCAAGCAAACGACCTTTACTGAAGAAGTTGAGTGACCAAGTATTTTATCCAAACTCTCAGGTTTTCAGAAAAAGATACGAGAATCTCTTGTCTTTATTAGATTCCAAAGTTAATAATAGAGCTCTCCAAAATTTGTTGCAGTTTTATGAACCAAAATCGCGCTGCTTCACGTTCCAGGATTACCAACTCGCTCCTACGCTTGAGGAATACCCTTATTTAATTAATATCAAGATCATCAAATCATGTTCCATTTTCTATTGTCCCAAAAGTACCCGATTATGAAGTTATTGCCAAGGCTCTTTATTTGAGCCTGATTGAAGTGAAAAGTGATTAGAGGGATAAGAGCACAGTTTCAGGTTTTTATGTGGGATTTCTGATAAGTAAAGCAAAATATATGGCAAAAAAAGAATGTTGGGATACGTTTAACGCATTACTAGCAATGCTAATTAATGGTGTTGTACTCTTTCCTAATGCTGAGAAGACTGTGGATCTCGCTGCCATATGTGTTTTTATGAACCCAAACCCTATTCCGACCCTATTGGCCAACACTTATTATGCAATTCACTCAAGTCATAATAAAGGAGGGGTTGTGACTTATTGTGTTCCTATGCTCTACAAATGGTTTATGTCCCAGTTTCCTACCAAGGTATTGTTCGTAGATAATAGTAGTACTCATTCATGGGCATCCAAGATAATGTCTCTTACTTCCTTTGATATTACATGGTATAGAATCAGGGTTGATAGTACTGAAGTAATTATAAGCTGCAGTGGTTTCTCTAACGTCTCACTCATGTGAACACAGGAAATGATTAACTATAACCCTATTCTCGCATTACACTAATTTGGGTATGCCATGAGGAATCCACCCAAAGAAAGTGAGATAAGAGAATATGTGTATTGTAAGAAGGGCAAGGATCCTGAAATGCAACGGAAAGTAGAGGTTTCTTGGGCCAAAATTCACAGAAAAGGGAAGGATTTATTTTGAAAAAAAGAGTTGGTAGCTTTTGGGCCGTATATAGACTGGGTTGAAGAAAGAGCAAGAACTCTCATGTTGCCTTTTTCAAAGGAAGAACCATTGTATCCAAAGCCTACCAAGAGGCAAGATGATGTACCGAAAGAGAATTTTTACCAAATAGAAAAGGAAAACCAAAACCTCTATGTAGATCTTGAAGACAAAAATATGGAGATGTACTTCTTAGAAGCAAAAAAGAAAGAGTTAACCCGTCAGTTAAAAGAATATGAAGGTGAAAGTAGTTCTGGAGGTAGGAAGACCAAAAGAAGACCTGGGGTGGAAGACCACTTTGTATCTATAGAGAAGTAATGAAAGAAAATGCCAGACTCCGAGATAAAACAAGGAGATGAAAGATGCACCCGTACCCATACCTTTTCCAGAGTGCAAAGAATGTGATCGCTTCTTGGAGAAGTGTGTGTACTTGGAGGGACAACTATTTCGGAAAGATGTGGTGATCGATAGCTTCGCACGTGGACAAGATCGTGAAAAGACAAGGAAATTATTCGCAGAAACCAAAGAATGAAGTGAAGGGTACCTCCAACAACGGGGACCTTTATACTACACAGAGATTAGAGATCCACCTAATTGATTGTTGTTTTTCTTTTTTAATGGCATTTGATCACCACCAGTCTTGTTGGATGAGATTGTTTATATTTTTATTATGAATTCTAGTACAAACTCGCTTCTGATCTGGAGGATCATTTTTATTATTAAATCAATTTTCATTGCTATATCTTTTGTCAGTCTCTGATTATCTCTCTTGTTATTGATTGTTTGATATTCTTGGGGGTTGACAAAATTCTTGGGACACCTTGGAAATGACCAACATTTCATGCATAATCATTCATTCATGCATATTACATACATGACAGGTTATCTCAGGACGATATTATTATCTTGATTCTGCTTTTCTTATTCAGAGTTCAAGATGACTACTCATCGGTACTCCACCATAAACAATTTGCCGAGATAAATGGAACAAATCCAAGATGAACTTGCTGAAATGAAAGCCCAGATGCCCACTCAGATGACCTA